ACCCCCCCCCCCTCAAGCAAGTGTTTCGCCCCTAACTTCCTGACTCTCTAAGGGGGCCGGGCCACACTCGGGTCATGACTCCTAAGTGCTCCCCTGCTGTTTCTGTTTGTTTGTTTTCTGTTTCTTTTGCGCTGATCGTGGGACGAACCTCCGAGGTTTTGGTGTATTTCCGGGTCTTCAGTCCGTGCGTTTTCATGCAGTGCCACGGAGCCTCCAGCAGATATTAGCATATACGAAGCTATACGAAAATCTACCATACTTTCCTATCTGCTGTCTGTTCTATTTGGCCCAGCTGTCGTTCCGTTTCGTCCACTCTTTCGGAACGTGGTACATGCCGAGGGCCATCTGAATCATCATTTGAACCTTATTTGCTTACTATGTTCATAAAGCCAAATCAAACATTCACTCAGATTCAAACAGTTGCGGACTAAATCTGTCCGTTCACAGGCTTTTCTTGCAAAAGAAATGTCCTTGTATCTAATAGAACAAATTAAAAATGTGTTCAGAAGGAGCAAAAGACTTGAACTAGCGGTCCACTATCCCAGAGATAGAGCAGGAGAACGCAACAACAAAAAAAAAAAAAAAAAAAAAGGAAGAAAATGTAAATGACAGTATAACTGGTACGCAATATAATGTAAGTAAGAGTTTTGGTTAAAATGGTCGCTTTTAAGCACAAGGGAGCTATCCCGAAAAATGCTGTTCTGAGAAAATTGAAGGTAAAGTTTTCCCCCCTTATTCAGTTCCTTCAAAAAACAAGGAGAGTTTTCTCTATAACCAAACAAATATACACACACCAATGAAACCAAACTTCTCTTATAGGTAGGGCAATGCCCACTTTTGGTGTAGGTCAAGATTTCTGGAAACCCCAGAAATCCAGGTTAGCCCGCTTGTCCTTAAAAGCGACCAATTCTCCTATCAACACTATTAGGTTACAAGAGGCAGAACCAAGAAATTTAACGTCTGTTTCTGATAGGGCTGAGCCAAGTGGATTGAGAGCCTTGAAAAACTCCAACAAAACAACTCAAGTTCAAGAATGCCCAGTCTGGGATTTGAACCAGGACCATCACTCCATCATCCAGCATGATAGGAACTGAGCTGACGAAGCACCCATCATAAGTTGGTTCAGCAGTTTAAAAAAAGAAAAAGAAAAAGAAAAGCCCTTGACATGAGCGCACTCACTGCGTTCGTCGTCTCCTCCTTTGTTCCT